CGGAGAGCTCGTTTGTTATCATTGCTTCTCTATCGGGATAGGTGAAGTCGTTGACATTTACATCAGAAAGTCTTTCAAGTTGAAACTTTTACCAAAATCAAAAACATTAACTCCGAATTTTCTACTTTATATACAACCGTTTCCCACGATCAATTAAAAGTTCATGTTTTTTTTATCTATCATTGACAGCTGCTTTTTAAATAAAAACCGTATTCGTTAATTAATTATCTTGTCATTTGTCATTTGTAAAATTATTTTGTTAAAAACCAATCTGATGATATACACAAGGAGTCTGAAGTTGACATCAAAAAGATGCTTGAGTTTCTGATTGACAATATCTATGTGGTTTTTGTAGACAAGATTTAACAATCTAGGGTTCCAGTTGCGACCTGTTATTAGCAGACGAGAGTCTAAAACACTGTTTCATATATATAAATTATTTTTGAAAAAGACATTAATGGTAATTAAACAACCAAGCTTTTTGACAAATGTGATGACTTTAACTTTTCAATCGTGAATTTCTTTTACTTATGCTTCAATGTACTTCCATTATCAACTGTATATACGGGTTTTATATTTATAAGTTCATTCGATACGTATAAACAATTCCATAAACAAGACAAGATATCGATAAGCAAGTTTCTGAACACAGAATATCAACATTCTCGATTAAAGCCATCATTCATATTAGTCGATACATTGACCATGTCAGCCGATTCAATTTATCATTGAGTCTTTGTTCATACCAATTATTAGTTTATTATTTACACACTGAACTGACAACGGATTTTCCCTTTATTTCCCGATTATAACACGGAGCAAACGACAGGTGTGACCGGTCGGCTGGGGATGCTCACTGTTCCATAATACCTTTAATCTTTATATGACTTCTTACATGTAACAATATGTGAAAATAAAAGAAAAACTTAAATATACGAAGAATGTTTATATAAAACAAAAATTTCCACCCCCCCTCCCTGCCCTAACAAAAAATTTTTTAAAAAAGGGAAAATCGTGTAATCCAATATCTTTTTTGTAAAATCATTTGTTTCAATTTGGACGTGTCAACTACATGTAATGTAAACAAGGATTGTTCAAGTTTTTAAAATAAAATTTTGCAAAAGATGATTAACAACATTAAATTTTTACTCTTAATGTAAATGAAAAATATTACCCTAACCTGACTTTGCTTCTAAAATAAAATGGTCAAATTGAATATAATTCATATTATCAGTTAATGTTATATTTTTCTCTTGAACCTGTAAAAATTTCATTAATAATTATTTTTAAATGCTATAAATATGAGAAAAATCCATCTTTAAGAACCCTCTCTACACAGTGGCAGCATTTGTTTTGGACATTGAGAAAAATATATTGTATAAAGCAGTTAATATTAAGCTTATTTATTTAATTTTCACTATATGATGTGTGGCATTTACCCCTGGGAAAAATGTTCAAAGACAACACAGTATCACTGAATAGAAATCACTGTTAATTACTTCAGTAGAGAAAATACATGTAAAAATCATGTTCAGTTAATTTATTTTGGGCTTTAAAATGTTCAGAATGCTAAAAGTAATTACAAATTGCGTAATATATTGTAAATTTCTATTTTTTGGAATTTAGATTTAAGGGCAGATCACTCTAACTGCAGAAAATTACCATAGAATCATAACTCTTTAGTGTGCAGTGTAGAGAGGGTTCTTAAGTCGATTGTTGTCAATCATTTTTCATACTTATCGTAAGGCAATAATTATAAACTATGACAAGCTCTTTTTCTAAAAATTTATTCTTTAGTGATTCTTCAAATAAAAAAAAATTCTTTCACATTTGAAAGAGAGATTTTTTCTAGCAAAACTTTTTTTCCATTAAAAGAGAAACAGCTCAAATTTTAAGAGATTTCTCTCTCGTTAAAAGAGATATCTCTTTTACGTGGTAGAGAGATATCTTCATAAGCTAGAGAGATATCTCTTTAAGCGAGAGAGATATCTCTTAAAGTTAGAGAAATATATCTTTAACAAGGTTAAAATGAGAGATATCTCTGTAATTTTAAAACAGATCTTATTTTCCGAATAAATAGCAAAAGGGCTTGCCATAATAAACACTGACTTGTATTAAGATTTTTGTAATCCGAATCATGTGTGATGCATAGAGCAAATGTCAAGAGTAAACATTGGCAGAAAAATGCATTATCCCTTTAATGACAAAAATTCTGATCCTCCGTCACAGATGTTTTAGAGGATCATTTGAAACCCCTGCTGCACGATATGCATTGTTTGAGTGCATGACTTGATTAAATTATTTAGTTTCTGTTCGCGTTTGTAGATTGTCTTCCAATCCATGTTTTACAATAAATCCGCCAGCTATGTAATTATAGATGACGTATTCATCGAGAAGGGACCTTGTACAGGTGAGCTATACACTCAATAAAATTTTCTTTAGTTCGTTTTTTTCTTTTGCATTATGACTATAATCAATGTTCATTTTATCTTCTATTGTTTTTTGTAATTGTTGTTTACGAGAAGCACTGACTCCTACAGTTGACGGTTAACTTGGAGATTTAAACTTGTATCATGTTCGGAAGTACAGAATTGATAATTTTTCTAGTGGTCATATGTAGGGTGTTAGGGGCGGTAACATGACGACCGGGAATTGAGATACGTTTTCCTCAAGGACAACTTATACATTAAATAACCCGTTATTTTCGTTTTATTCAATGTTGAGCTAAATATTAATATCATGCTACCATAAAAGCCCAAGTATAAAAGTAAGCTCAACTATAAAAATTTTAAAAGTCCACCTGTGTGTGGCTTTACACATGTGTGGCTGTCAAAGCCAAAACACAGGATCATTTTTGTGCCAGCATTTACTGCGACATAAAAACTTGGTTTAAATAGCTTTATCCCTCAGTTGTGACCTAGGAATTTAAAATTGAAGGATTAAACCCTTACTCTGTGACTCAAGAGTAAACGCTCTTACCACTGTGTCATGCGAACGACAACTCTTTTCAAAATATAAACGTAAAGGCCTTTAATTTTCTTTATAAAAACTTTATTGAACTAAGCAGTTTCCTTTTTGTAAAGATCATCTGTTGTTAAATCGATTCCAAAAAAGACGATAAAAATATTTACTTAATATTTATTTCATTTTTACATGACCGACAATTTTTATTCTAATTAGACAAAATAAAATGTCAAGTTTATATGTAATATTATAATTTATATTCACTTGAATCCCTGGTTGTACAGTTCGGTACTTTATTCTTCTTTTTGAAGGAATTATCTACCTGATTTCTTACTTTTTTCACTTTTATATATATGATGTGACGATTTCTACAAAATTTTGAATTTTTCCCTACAATAAAGTCACAGTGCACTGCAAAAATGGAGAGTTCCGATGCTTTAGAAGTAAAGAGTGTATACCAAGTACTTTGTTTTGTGACGGAAAGGAAGATTGTAACGACAAGAGTGACGAAGAAAATTGTAAGATTTTTTGAGAGTAAATTTCAATTATTATTCAAAATGTCATAATCATAATATGCGAAATAATTTTAAAAAAGGAAACCTTCATATGTAATGCTTACTCTAATTTTAGGTACATTAGATCATGCTATTGATCTGGAGAGTACGACAAATTCATTCCTAATATGCAATGGGTGTATAGGGGATCACATTACCAAAAATAGCAGACATGATTTGGAAAAGGATTTCATTATGAGGACTTGGCACGAAAACTTTACAGGATCTGGTTTTATCTTAGCTAATCAAACTATGGCTGACTTTGACAACTCTAGCGTAGTAAAAGGAAAAATTGGTTTCGTAAAAAAATGTCTTAATTTTATAGATGGAGAATGTAATATCTCATCCATGTCTTCTGGGTTACAAACATGTTTTCAGGAATGTCCTAAACACTGCATTCCATTATCATCTAAAGTCCCAATGGAGTGTGTGAGCTACCAATCAAATTTTTATCACTACTTTGAATGGAGAAATATTTTGTGTGACAATGTTTCCTTTCATGAACTTTATTCTTCTTTTGTGTATTCATTGAATATTATTGCGTCAGATATTAAGCATTTTCTTCTAGACAGAAGGATCATTGTTAATCTCCAATATTTACAAATTCGTGACAGTTCTATTGAAACTCTTCTAATTGTCCAAGCAACTAAACCTTCCAAGCAATTACAATCGCTACAATTAATAAACTGCTCGCTAAAGTACGCACAGATGACTTATACAACAAGCAAATTTAACAGTAAATTAGAGATTTCTGATTTGAAAGGTAGGAGATTTATAAGTGGTTTAGATGCAAATTTATCTTTTTATGATATTTATTGCGACATGAATTTACACACATCTGAAGATATCAAAATAAAAATTTTTGAAATATTTCTCAATAAAATGTTTGAAAATGACTTCGAATTGGCTTTATCAAATTATGATTTTTTAAAGTATGTATTTATTTCAAGACATCTTAAAATATCTGTAGCTATTCGGCATTCAAGTCCGATAGAACTACAGGAAATAATTTCAAACGACAAGGAAAGTTTTTTTCCAGATGAAATGGAAATTATATTTGATTTAAATTATTTTACGAAGCAAAATTGTTCCTTAACAAAAATAAGTCAATTTCAAATTCAACTGGATATCGTAAAATTTATAGACCTTTCTTCTAATGTAATAACAATCATAGGAAAGGAAGATTTCAAAGCAGCTGTGTATTTAGCAATCCTTATTCTGCAGAACAATCGTATTCAAGACATTGAGAACAACGCTTTTAAAGACTTAAAGTCGCTTTTTTCTCTTAATTTATCAGATAATGTTATAAGTAATGTCAAAAAACACTTCTTCATATCTTTAACTAACCTTCATTTTTTATACTTAAACAACAATAAGATTGAACATATCCATGGAAAGGCTTTCTGGAATTTAAAAAAATTGTTTAGTTTGGATCTATCTAATAATAGAATAAAACATTTTGGAGAAGGACTGTTTTTAAACATGGAAAACTTAGAGAATTTGTTCTTACACAATAATGATATAATGTCTATCAAAGGAATGTTCCTTGGCCTTTTCAACCTCAAGTTTCTCAAAGTGGATGTCTTCTCTTTATGTTGTGCCAAACCACGTAGCATCTATGAAGTGGAGTGCGTTGCCCCTCAGAATACAATATCTTCTTGTGAGCAGTTAATCAGTGTTCCTGTTCTAAGTGTTGTTATCTGGTATATGGCATTTCTGGCTACTTTTGGAAATATCGTTGCTCTCATAAGTAACTTAACTACATTTAAAGATAAAGCATCCATTGAATACTTGATTTTGTCATTTAATCTGAGTATTGCTGATTTGTTCATGGGGATATATCTATATGTCATAGCTATTGTAAATCTTATGTATACTGGTGTATATGGGTTTGAGGACTATAAATGGCGGCACAGTAGTGTTTGTACTTTTGCAGGGATATTAGCTACAATGTCAAGTGAAGCGTCAGCTCTTTTTGTGTTGCTTATCACTATCGACAGATTGATAGCAATCAAACATCCTTTTTATCCAAACAAACGAAGATGGGTCATCATGTTATCTGTATTCTCATGGGCTCTTTCTATTTCTATATCTTTATTTCCTATTTTGGCTATGGAGTTGTTAATCTTTAAAGATTTTTATGCCCAGTCTCCTATATGTGTAAGTTTACCTTTATCTGTCCACAGACAAAGTGGTTGGCAATATTCCATGATCATTTTTATTGGGTTGAATTTCATTATTTTCGTTGGTATCAGCATTGGACAATTTCTGATTATCTTGGAAGTAAATAAATCTGGAAGGAAGAGCCAAGCCTCAAACCGTCGCCGAAGGGAAATTGCACTAGCCAAGTCTGTTGTTGCCGTAGTGATCACTGATCTTCTGTGTTGGGTACCGGTGGGAATTATCGGTAAGTTTGTGTTGTGTACCTGTGGAGATTATCGGTAAGTTTGTGTTGTGTATCTGTAGAGATTATCGGTAAGTTTGTGTTGGGTACCTGTGGAGATTATCGGTAAGTTTGTGTTGGGTACCTATGGAGATTATCGGTAAGTTTGTGTTGGGTACATGTGGAGATTATCGGTAAGTTTGTGTTGGGTACCTATGGAGATTATCGGTAAGTTTGTGTTGGGTACCAGTGGAGATTATCGGTAATTTGTGTTGTGTACCTGTGGGAATTATCGGTAAGTTTGTGTTGTGTACCTGTGGAGATTATCGGAAAGTTTGTGTTGGTATCTGTGGGAATTATCGGTAAGATTGTATTGTGTACCTGTGGAGATTATCGGTAAGTTTGTGTTGGATACCTGTGGGAATTATCGGTTAGATTGTGTTGGGTACCTGTGGGAATTATCGATAAGTTTGTGTTTGGTACCTGTGGGAATTATCGGTAAGTTTATGTTAGGTATCCTTGGGAATTATTGTTAAGGCCAGCATTTTTTTATTTTTAGGTTTACAAACCCGCCGCTCAAGTTTTTGAATTTTCAGAAAAAAAATAAAATTGAGAAAATCAGATTTTATTCTTTCCAATGTCAAATTTGAGTCGGGATCGAGATTTCAAATTTACGAACTCGTACTTCCGGTTTTAAAATGCATGATGGCGGGTAACGAAGGTAGATTTGTCAAATCCATAACAGCACTAAACCTTGGTTTAATGTAAATATTTATCGACAGGAGTGCCATTCAAAACGTTTCATTCATTCAGAGAACAAATAAAGTGCTGACGACTTTGTTGCAGAATGACATGTTGGTGAGATAATGTATCCGTATTCAAAAGTATCTGTCATCTGTCTGTAAATTATTTTCCTCCCACAGATTAAAATCTGCCCATGGTAGCTATTGTCAGAGACATTGTTTAAGTTTTCTGTTATAGCTTTCAGTCTTAGCATCATTCTTCAGAAAAGGGTCGCTTATGCATCAGATGTAATGAATAAAACTATGGGAGAGATTAAGTCCATTTGATTTGAGGAAGAAATAAACAATAATTTTGCCCAAAGAAACAAAATGTTTCAACTATTCAAAAACAACTATATACAAAATTACAAATATAGACAGGCATGTAGTATCGTTTGTGGCAGCCAGATAAATTATTTTACACTAATTCAAATTGAAAAAAATTCCATCCTACTCCCCAATACTCCCTGTCTGTTTTAAGAAAGGAATTATTATTTTAGGTCTCAAGTATATTAAGAACAATTTCAACACATTCACCTAATACATATTAAAAATATGAAGATACATATATATTGAAAGAGTTTTTAAAAAACTGTTTTTGTTTTTTTTTATCTGTATTTTGTCCAACATCACAAGATTTATCATTTATATCACTGTCTCCAACTGTTAGAAGATGAAATAAACAATTAAGGGTTCTTTTTTCCCCTTGTAACCCTTATGTGTCCAGTGGCAAGGAGCCTGTTAGGAGAGCATAAAAAAAGAAGCAAAAATTAATTTAGAAAAGTCGATAATGTATCCAAAAAAAATTTTATTTTTTTTATTTCCTCCTCCTACCGGACTTTTTCATTCTGATGTTCGTAAACCTAAAAATAAAAAAATGCTGGCCTAAGTTCTTGTTGGAAACCTTTGGGAATTATCAGTAAGTTTGTGCTTGTAACATGTAGACATTGTCGGTAAGTATGTTCTAAATACCTCTGGGAATTATAGGAAAGTTTGTGTTGGATACCTTTGAGGATTATTGGTAAATCTGTGTTAGGTACCTGTGGGAATTATCGGTAAGTCAGTGCAAAATAACTGTAGGAATAATTGTTACTTATTGGAATTACTGATGGATTTGTATAGAATACCTGTAGGTAACTGGTGGATTCGAAATTAGTGTTACTCAAAAATATCTTCAATGACCTTTAGTTCCTTTGGTTTTTAATGTATAGAGAGACTTTCCTGGGTATGACTGATTTTCTTGTCGTAATTCTGGCTTAATCTCGAGAAGAGATATTATATCTGATGCTTTGTCAAGTATATTCTTTAGAAAAATCCTACCGAGGTAAATTATGTAATGCCATCACTATTCCTGTTTTATGTCTGTTTTTTAAATTAATAATTTTAAGAAAAAAGACTCAGTATGAATGATTTCTTAAACTCAATAATGTTATTTAGTTTTGCTGATAAACCGAAAAGTCAGAATGATAGAGGATAGGGAAACTGAATATAGATTTATATTGTTTTAAAGGCCAGATGACTTTTTCCTAAAAAATAAATAACTTTACCCAAGAATGTGTTACTAATTTAAATTTAGGTACTTAAATAAGTTTCCTCACACACACACACACACACACACACACACACACACACACACACCCTCACACACACACACAAAAAGGATATCATACCAGGAATTTGGTCAAGATACCTCAGGGTGATACTTCTTATATATCCCATAAAGGTTATCATCGGAATGGCTCATATCACAATTTTTATGTACTTTTACTTATATTTGAAAAAAAATTAAAACAATTTAGAAATCACAAGAGAATGAGAAATATGAATATTTTTTAATACAATACAATGAGATACAAAAGAAATATTTGAGGAACGTGTTATCGGACCTTAAGAATCCTTATTCGAAACAGATGATAAAGAGTACGAGACACATACACGTAATGTGAACCTGAAATAAAAAAAATAAGATTTTAAAAAGATTGTTCATGCATCTTTGCCAAAAAAAAATATTAATAATATTAACAAATCTAGGCATGTTGACATTTTCTGGTATAGACATTTCAAGGCATGCTGACGTGTTTTATGGTATTGAAATTTCTAGGTATGTTGACATTTTATGATATTAACATTTCTAGGCATGCTGACATTTTATGATATTGACATTTCTAGGTATGTTGGAATTTTATGGTATTGAAATTTCTAGGCATGCTGACGTTTTATTGTATTGACGTTTCAAGGTATGTTGACATTTTATGATATTAATATGTCTAGGTATTGCGACATTTTATGATATTGACATTTCTAGGTATGTTGACATTTTATTGTATTGACATTTCTAGGCATGCTGACATTTTATGATATTGATATATCTAGGTAACTATGTTGACATTTGATAGCATTGACATTTCTAGGCATGCTAACGTTTTATGACATAGACCTTGTAAGGAATGTTGACATTTTATGGTATTGATATTTCTAGGTATTGACATTTCTAGGTATGTTGACATTTCTGGGTATGTTGTCATTTCTAGGTATGCTAACGTTTTATGGTATTGACATTTCATTGGAAGTCTACGCCTGGATCATAGTGCTTGTTTTACCGGTGAATTCTGCTCTTAACCCAATACTTTATACTCTGTCGGCCATCATACGAGACAGGGGGCGGAGGAAGGTAAATACATGTATGCCTAAAACAAACTTTTAGTGAATGGTTTTAATTATTTATGCTCATATATACGGAATAAACTAAATTGGATAAGTAAAATTAACTGAAAATTGGTAAATTATCATATTGATATTGTCTCATGTTAAATTTATTCATAGGAATGCTGTATTAAAAATTCCGCTTATTCTTTAGGCGTATTTATTTGAATATATAACGAAGTCGGTTAATCGATCTCAAAAATCTTACAATTTGTGAACTGTGTGAATACAGAATCCCGGAAATCCATTAGGTGGTAAGATGTATCTAGTAGTGTAAACATCTCCTTTTGACCTGTCATATCCGCCATAAGCCCTGTGCATTGATGAAGTAGACAAACCACTATCAAATTTAGTATCAAAACAATAACCTCAATTGGTATGAATAACAATGAGTGGTAATTTCATGTGAACATTAAGTTTAAGATAGATATTTAGATTTAGAATTAAAACTTATTTGTTTTGTTCTTTTAAAAAATACATGTACATTTGAGTTGTAATAATGAGAATGACTAACAAAGACGATATTTTTGCAGAACCTTGTCAATTGAAACATACATGTATTTTGTATCAAAGCTGTTGTTTTTTTTAGGTATTTGAAAGCAATATGCAAAGGGAAAATAAAATGCTTATCAACGAAAATGATCGTCTCAAACGGCTATTGAAATCTTCAAAGGTATTTTACATATATAAGGCTAACAAAAGTTGTTTTTTTTCAAAAATTTTACAGACTCTTTAACTAATTATGTTTTTTTTTTAATTTCTTAAGATATGTATGTCAAACGCTCTTTTAACATTCGGGATACAGTGTCATGATTTTTTTTAAAGTGAAACATACAATTATTTGAATGTCTTCAATCAGTTTATCATTGTTAGGTTTCACAAAAGACAAAGCACGTCATGCATAAATTATCCAACGTTTCCAGCCAGAGTTTATATCCCTGGTTTACCAAACAAATTTGTCAGTGATTCCATATACTTACATTACTTTATATATGTAATAAAATTGTAAATATAAATTTAAAAGTTATCTAGGCCTTTCATTTTTACTTCATTAGTCCCCGTCCACTGTCATTAGACGCAAACACAGCCGCACAAGATTGACATGTGTACAGTGCAGGAAAATTATTTTTTTTTCGATACAGTATGATAATCGATGTTGATTTTTATGCTTAGTTTCCTGATTTAATGCAAGTAATCCTTATCCTGATGCTGTTTTATAATTAGGTCAATGCTACAGAAAGTAGCATCATGCTACCGGAAGTAGGTAATTGAATTTAAGCATCGCCATTGAAAGCAATAATTAAAGTGCCTTTTATAAAAATTTAATCATAATATTTCACTAAATGTGATAATTATTCGGATAATTTAAGAGAAGTTTTCTTTCCCTGTAAAAATAATTGATTTTTCTAATGCTAATAGGATGATGCTGATTTTAAGTAGGTCAATGCTGCTTTATCGTTTGCTTGCTTATGCTGGTAATGCTGTTTTTTACATGCTGATCCTGATGCTAGCTGGATGCTGATGCTACTAATGCTCATAAGTGATGCTGATTTATATAATTAAATTAGTTCACTGTACTTTGTAAGACTCCTGAACATTCACCTGTCGAAATTAACATTCTGGTTGAATTATCAAGAAATTATCTCACTTAAATTTCATAATTATCACGTAGATAGTAAAGATGAATGGAAATATTCTAGTTTAAGAATAAGTAAAACAAACTCAATAATTACACATCCCATTTGACATAGTGCAGTGATGATTTATAATACTTCGATGCGTAGTAATTTGATATTGTAAATCTTACAATAATATTTCACATGAAGATTAAAATAATAAGCATAATATTTACTCACCCAAAATATGCAGGGAGCAATAACGAACAAATGACATTTAGGGCTGGAGAAGTCTGTTTTTAATAGTGTGAAATATTTGCTGTATAATTATTAACTTTGCTTAAACTCTGTACTGATGATACTCTTTTTATTGCAGTATTGACAGAAAAGGACAATAAAGGAACTTAATGAAGACTCCCAATATTGGCAGGATTTGTTCTCAAGAAAAAAAAAACTGTTTTTGGTTCTAAGACGATTGTTGCATTTTTTTATTTTTAAGAAAATAAAACACAATCCAACTATCTAGAATTTTAGTTTTTTTCCCTGATTCATTGCATAAAAAACAACAAACACATACCCATTGGCAAGGAAATCCCAAAGATATGTTGATATAACAATGATATTAAAAAAATATAGATTCTTTTAAAACTGTTATATAACTAGTACTTTAATAATAATAATATTCTTTGAATTACTTGTTGATTTATTAAGATAGTTCCACATATCGTTGGGATTTGAACTCTGTTCAATCGCTGTTTTATAGTAAGAAGTTTTGATTTGTTAATATGCTTCTTTGTAGAGAATTCTTTGTGAAAATAAAGACCTTAGAATTACATCAGTCTGCATTTAACCTAATGATAGGTTGTGTTTGCTGACAAAGTCATTGTGTCGACCATAGAATAAGCCAAATGATGACTTTTAACAAGACTGTTTTATGTTTCATTAACTTATTTGTTTAGAAATCGTTCGTGCGTAAAGCATGTTTTTTGTGTATCAAATTTATGGGAGGTATAAACTCCATATACTAGAGATAATGGTATATTGCTATTACATAAATATAAGGAAAGTTGACCATAGAAAAGTTGAAGTCATAACGTGTACCATAGAAAAGTTGAAGTCATAACGTGTACCATAGAAAAGTTGAAGTCATAACGTTAATCATAAAGTTTTGTTGTTGAAGAGCAACTATTTGGTCATTATCCAGATGTGAATTAATGTATACTTGGTCTTTTTCTACAAAAAGAGTCACCATATTCCTTCTGGTTGCAAATGTCCTTCAGATTTATCCACTAAAGCTCCAGCTACAATATTATCAATGAAGGATATATATTTATAATCAGTCTTTTATTGAGATGCACTTGGATACAGAAGAATAAGGCCAAAGCCAAGTTCCCCTTGGGGGGGGGGTAAATATATCCCTGATGCTGAATCAACCCGCCTCCAGCATACCCAGAAAGTTATCTTGAACTTCTTAAACATACTCGACTCTTCTGGTCGGTAAGTTGTTTGTCCAACTTTGCTGACTGCCTCGGTAGAGCGGTCACTTTGTGAAGGTCAGGCGTTCAGAACTCGGTCTTGACTGATATCTACATGTAGCAAATGTTCATTCGCCAACCTCTCAGCACTTTGAAGTTAAAAGTTGCGAATCCTTCTGATGAGATCGTATAAGCCGATGGTAATATCTCTAAATGAGTGAAACCTTTTAGAGCAAGACGAAAGCAACATAACCATAACCAATCGATCAATCGATCAATCTAAAATTATTATCCACGGTTACTGCAGTCGGGAAGATCAAAACTTCTCAATTAATTATGATGATATTGTTTCTATCTCAATCGTCATCATTCACTTCTCAATATATTGATATTATACAACAGTCTTCTGGTAGAAGTATTAACTACAAGTACTAAGATGGTAGAAAGCACTGAATTTAAACTATGTGTATTCCCTTTTAGAAATGATGTATATACTGTAATGGTAGCAGAAAAAAGGTATGGACTTCAGACGAGTCACAAGCTTAATATAGTTATGCTTAAGTACATCTGAATGGTCACCTACCTCACATCCATGCTAATTCTCAAAGTATTTCTTTTTAAACCATCTAATGTATGCAGAGGGACGATAAATACATGTCATCATTTGAATTGTAGTAGGGATATTATTAACGATTTGAGAAACAATTACTTAGATTTGTTACTGGTTCTTCTGTATATATTGTACAAAAAAGTTCCCCTAAAAGCAAATGAGCATCCCCTTGTAAAAAACATATCTATAACTCATGAAAGCATTCGACAACGATCCTTATCCACATCACTTCACTTTCGTTTCGCACAAGACTAACTATCAGACACACAGACGCACACAAACACATTTGTATATCCTATACAACTCCTTTGTAAGGGGTAATAAAAAGCAAGAGAGAGTGTCACAAGAAAAAGATACCGGGGGTGTATAAATACTTAGATAAAAGCGATTTCCTATTTTTGAACGGTGCTCTAAAGAGCAAGAGACACTTTGGGCTAATTTGGCACTAAGAATTTTTGAAAAACCAAAACTACTCAGTTTTGGTTGCAAAACCAGTATTTATCACTTGGAGTGTTGGTGACCACGTTTCTATTAATCGTGACGTAATTTTCCTTCTAGTCAATGCAAATGTGTCATTTTCCTCATATCCTGTAAATTTCTTTGTGAATGGCCTTTGTAACTTCACAGTTGAAGTATCTTTTTTGTTTAATTTTTCGTATAGAACACAACCTCTGATCAAAAAATATTCTAAAACAAAATGAAAGATCAGTTTCTGAAGATGAAAAAAAACCATGTTTTATGTTTTGGATCGTGGTCTGTGCTCATATTTTATTTCTTTGCTGAAAGTAGTCAAATACGCATGTTTTCTGCAAATTTCAAGAACATTGCTATTTCTCAAAGCCTGTTTTCCGATATCTGAAATCTCAAAAAGAAATTTTATTATAGGAAATGAAAGTGCCAAGTGTCTTCTTCATTTGGATATATGAAATGGGAAAAGGGTGATAGTGAATAATTTGATACAAGTACAGTGCCATGTTATGCATAAAGTGAACCTAGCTCTTTTTAACACAACATGTGAAATTGTGTTTAAAAATCCTGATGGGCAGAAACTCCACACAAATCCCTTAGACAAATATCATGTATAATTTCTTAAAAGAAATACAATTTCATTTGTTTGGATCATCACGAATACAAATCTATTCTCTTGGCTTGAATAAGAAATAAATATCATCCTTTTATTTGAGTCAATTCTAAATCCCATAGATTTTTTTTATTTTTTAAAGGAATCGAGTTTACAAGACTGGCATCTATTTTGCTAGCTCGGCCAAAAAGTATGTTATATTAAATAATAAAAGCACAGTTTTAAATACAATTCCAAGATACAATAAGATGTAAATTGGTTAATTTTTAAGAATTCCGTATTAACCTGATTTTTTTTTACCAATACGTAAATATGAAAAAAATGATTTAAAAAAAAAACAAAATTGTACAAAATTATGTTTACAATCGGATTAACACTTTTGAGATAATTCGAAAAATAATGTGGGCAATTGAGGTAAAACGTTAAAATATTTTTCCTGTGGTCGATTCTTGGTAGTTAGAGGGAAAATATTGGTGTGTTATGATTTGTTTTCTGGTTGCTGTAGTAGTAGAAAAAAAGTAGTTATTGTATTTAAATTCAATCACAATTTGTAAAAGATATCAATTTGTCGGTATGTCTAAATTCATGCCACCAAAATAAAAAAAAAAATTAAAAAATCGAAACAACAAAAACCAACATGAAATGACTTCACAATGATGTTTTTTGTTTACTTCTTTTTTTTTGTCCCAAAATAAGAAATGTGATGCTTTGATATTTCATTCAATTGTGACCTATGTATTTCATTTGTGATTTGAACGCTTCATTCTCCGATTTTTAAGGTCTTCTGCCTTCAGTGGATTGTGCACCAATTACTCAAATATGGCTAGTTGTATTTCCATAAAAATTTTACGATTTATGTAGCACCAACTGAACTTTTTTAATTTATCCGTTTTGATGACGCCCTCCCGGTCCGAATATATTGTTGATTTAATGATTTTAGAAGGTCGGGTTGTCCCCAGATTTGATCATTATTAGCTCCAAACGCAAACATGAAATTTTCAGTAATTATAGACCTATGTCTGTAGATATGCCCTTTGCCTTTCAATTTCCCCTGAAACGCCGCATGTCGGCGGTCGCCATATGGTCCGAAAAAGATCGGAAATTTTAGAGATTATAACACTTTTTCAACAATATCATTTAAATGTAGATATATTGTTCAAACATGAAGAACAAAAACTGTGCAGTGTATCACGATCTTTTAATTAAAGGACACAAAGAATCAGGGACTGGTCCCTTAAATAAAGGAGACAGAGGGGCCTAAAGTTTTTCTTTGATTTTTTTAAAAAGTATTGATAACTTGTAAAACGTCATTTCTTTATTCACAATTTTAATACTTCGCGTAAATTCAATTGCAAAATACTCAAAATCAACTCCCCAAACTATAAATTTACCTTAATTTTATCATAAAGAAAGTTATTTAAATCAGAGTAAGAAGCAAAGATATAAATACCAATTTAAAATTTTGAACCATGAACTTCGTATTGAATGGTGTCCTCTTTTTATAAATTGACAAAACACAATATGAGTAGCGTTGCAATGAAGCACATGGAAGTGGTAAATTTGTTATTTGCATGGAAAGTTTTGGTGTTTCGTATCAAACGTCAATGGCTACATAACGACACTCCTATCTCTTTCGAGACGAAAAGGAAATATTCGGTTTAATGCTTTAGGATATCCCACTTTCTGCGACTAGTAACATGAGTTACACGAAAACGGAGAATTTTGAAAGGTAGAGGAGAGAATTAGAGACCCCGCTTTTGTAAAACACGTATTGCAACGAGCATAATTATTATTTTTTCGTTTATTCGGATAACCACAACAAATGTACTGGTCGAAATCGGTATTTACATGCATGTAGATTATTTTGATTGGCCACTTTATTTATACAATGAAGTGCATTGAAGTGGTAAAATTTTAGTTTGAATGGACTATTTAGAGCTATCTTCAGAACGTTTATTGTCATATCATGACACACCCATTTCTATAATAAGGAAAAATCGGTTAAATGATTCATTCGAATACCAGTAGAACATGTATTCCATAAATATAATGGCTAATTAAATTGACATTATACATAAACAACGAATAAGCACGGATTCGTCCGATACATGTGTTATGAAAACTCCAATATACATGATTAATTCCAAATTATGTACAAATTTGTTGCAATACGTGTTTTAGAGAAGCGGGGGCTCTTTACTCTCTCTTCTAAGTTTTAAAATCTGCATTTCAGTGTAACTTATGGTGCTAGTCGCAATGAGTGGGGTGTATTACGACAATTATTCTTTCTCGTATCTAAAGATATGTGTAATTATGTAACAACTGACATTCGATAAAAAACACCCAAATTTAACTTTCCATTCAAACGAAATATTTTACCACTTTAATGCGCTTTATTGTAGAACACTTATTCTACAGGTAGTTAAGTGAACTATTTGATTGTTTTGTCATTTTTCAAGAAATGGGCGTGCCTTACACGACAATCAATGTTCTAAATAGAGACATAAATGTCCCATTCAAGCGGAAAATTTACCACTTCAATGCGCTTCAGTGTATTTTGGACAAATGGTACTTTGTCCATTATTTGGGAAAAGGAAGCATTATATTTTCACGGAAGTACAAGTTTATATATAAAAAGCGTTATAAAATACGTGCCTCTTAAGATGTTTTTACGGAAGTTGTTATATAGTACCCCAATATCTAATAGAGTTACCAGTAGTCTGATTTTTGGATCTTATTACAGATTTGTACAGTTCTTTTTTATAGTTTTTCTTAAATCGACACTTTGTGTTATCTTAACTCTTTTCATTCGCATATTAGTGATTGGATATGTTTTTTATTAGGGAGTTGTTTCTTTCTATCCCCTGGTATTTGTCGAAGAAAAAGGAAATACCAAACAATTTCAACAAAAGTGACATCCAATTAAATAAAATGTGAAATCCCTTTATAATTAAATACTCTTTTCTTTTATGTTCATAAGAAAAACTGCATATGAATATGTATATTATTTATTGAGGATAAAACAAATAAATAAAAGATTAAAGGAATGGAAGATTATAAGATAAACAAATGATGAATACATGTACATGAAATAAAACGAGAAAAGGTAAAATTGACAAAAAGGTTTCAGCCTTGATTTTATTACTTATTTTTTCCTTTGTTTATTAAATCTAAAGCTGTTTACACAAAATTTGACATTTATTAAAGGTTATACAATGATCCCCATCTCTTCTGAAACGACAAATATTATAATTAAAGTCATAAGCAGGTATGCATTTGTGTTTAGCATCTGTTTGAAGGGTTATAGTTAAGTTATGGAAGGGAAACTGTTTTTCCGATAAAATGCATAAAAATGATAAGTACGGCAAAAGCTTTATTTATACAAACATGAAACAAAAGTTGTTAGAATTCCCAAGTCTGATTCAGATACGTTTACGTCATGATACATGTTAGATTTAATTAAAATGGGATCAAAAATCCGGAAAAGTTATTTCCAGAATATCGAAGTATTATTTTTTTTTGAAAAAATATAATTTTGTTGTGACTTGATGCGCACAACATCATTCTTTTTCAGTGAAATGATGGCTATGTTGCCACCAGTGTAGTATCTAATAGTATCATCAGGGTCATGTCGTACCCCTGCTATTGCCTCTAGTGCGAATTTATCATTCACAGTCATGACGACATGAAGCACATCTCCTCTGAATACTTGGACAGAAATAAAAAATGCGTAATTTCCTTCCACCGGTGCTGTGAAACTGCCTGTTGTAGAATTATACCCAGCTCCAATATTAAGACGTACGTTTTTTAGAATAATTGGCTGATTTTCCCCGGTTATCGTTTCATATTTATTCCCCGAATCAGTCACTGTAAAGGCCACACTTTGTCTTTCTTCTGAAAGGATACATGAAATCATATGTACAAACAAACATAACATATATAAGCTTACCGCACGGGTAAGTATATAGATCTGAAAAAATATTCACATTTGTTTATTTCTGTTACACTATTTGGGCGATGCATATATTTAAGAAATAAACAACGTTATTCAGTGAACATGGCGTTATGAATAGCAATTGCTCTGCTGGCATATGCCAGCAGAGCTATTGCTATTCATAATGCCATGTTCACTGAATAATCGTTGTTTATTACTTATATTTGCATTCTTTGATTTTTTTTTCAAGAGTATCAGAGGAAATCCTGACTTACATAAGGACGCAGCTTCTTGTCTTCAGTAAAGAAAAACATACGGCTTTAAAATCAGTAAACCTGATTAATGCTCCTTTTCTCTAATAAATCACAAACAATTTATAAAGTACTTCCCTCTCAAACACAGTTATCTGGATCATACAAACATCGCTGTCATCACATTTTTGTTTTGATGCCGTTGTGACGTCATCGATCAACGTTTTTAAAACCCTCTGACAAAAACCAATAATTTAACACTATGGTGAAAAATGAGAATGCTTTTATAATGATTATTACTCCAGAATGCTTTTCTATTAATTTTTTTTTTAGTTTTTCTATTTATTTTAATAGCTGAAATCATTCTTGAAATAGATATACTAGGCCTAGTTAAAGAATTTCTCTTTCTGAATGTTATTACCCAAGTGTGTAGAGTTATCGTTCTTTGTACAAACATGCATGAAAAGAAAAAATAAAAATATGGCAGTTCTCTAAAATTTTAAAAAGTTTTATTATACAATTAAATTCATTGACCAAAATTAAATTTTTAAAGATATGAATCAGCAATTTTAAATATTCCGAATTTCCTTTTTCTCGAAGAATATTATTAAAAACTTATTTTTATTCCTCTTATGAAACATTTCATATATATACTTCTCAACGCGGATTCCAAGTTTAGTAGAAATTGTTCTACACGAGTGTAATAGAGCAATTGCATTCATAGGGGAAGCAATTGCGTCTATAGTGCTATGAACGCAGTGGAAGCCTGCAGGTTCATAGTGGGAGAGAGAAGTGGATATGCAAATATATATATACAATTTGTATTGTTCTCGTGGACTTTTGAACATAATAACTGTTTGTTTTCGTCACATTTCACAAAAGGGGGCGCTTGATATTATTTATTTTTCTTATGTTATAAATTTACGCCATACTAGGAATGGGATTAATTTTATGCCCTGCAAACGATGTTTCAAGGATATATAGTTTTGTCCTGTCCGTCTGTGTGTCTGTCTACCCGTTTGTTTGTCTGTTTGTCCGCAAAACCTTGCCCATAACGTTTTATTAATTGGGGCTATGACTTTCGTTTTTTACATTTGTACTCCTTGTAATAAGACCTTTCCAATTTGACCCATTGACATTGACCTTGGAGTTTGACCCACTTTTACACATTCCACATTCCAAATTTTTACTTTGGTCATATCTTTTGAACAGTAAATATCAGGACTTTTATACTCCATATATATATTTTTAATTGAGAGACCTTTCATTGGATATCAACAAAATTGATCTTTTGACCTTGACCTTGAAGATTTCCGTAGGTATGAAAAAAATTGACCTTGGCTATAACTTCTGAAAGGTAAGGGCTAGTGCTTTCATTCTTCACATATGTTATGTTTGTGAAAAGACCCTTAATTGAATATCAATAACTTTGACCATTTAACCTAGACCATGGAGTTTGACCAACTTTTAAAATACAAACCTTGACCATAACTTTTAAAGAGTTAGGGCAACTGATTTCATACTATACATATTTAATTCTTGTGTCAAGCCATTTTTTCTGATATCAAGAACTTTGATCCTGATTCTGTAGATTGACCTACTTTTTAAAATTTTTAACCTTGGCAATAACTTTTGAAGGGTTAGGGCTAGGGGTTCCTTACTTCAAATATGTATTTTTGTGGCAAACCTTTCAATGAATACCAATTACCTTGACCTTTTCTCACCTTGATCTTGGAGATTTCCGAAATTATAAAAAAACATTAACTTTGGACGTTACTTTTAAACTCTAAGGGCTAGTGCTCTCATACTTCACATGTGTAATCCTTGTTAAAAGACCCTTCATCGGATACCAAGATTTTTGATCCTTTGACCTTGGAATCGGACATATTCAAAAAACAAACATTGACCACATCTTTTGAAGGAATAGTGATTCATACTTTTCATATGTAATTCTTGTGACAAGACCTTTCAATTGACCATTTGACCTTGGAGTTTGACCTACTTTTTAAAAATTGTTAACCTTGACAATAACTTTTGAAGGGTTAGGGCTAGGGCTTCACACATGCATTCTTTGTGGCAAGACCATTCATTGGATACCAATTACTTGACCTTTCCACCTTGGAGAATTCCGTACTCATGAAAAAACTTAAACCTTGACCTCCATTTATATTTCACAATTGTAATATAGGTGAGAATGCTCTACTTTGAGTACCAATATATTAAATTTGCATTTAAGAAAGGTTTAATCTTCGCTGTGTTGCCGTACGGGGGCATCAGTGTTTCACAAACACATTTTATATAAGAAAAAAGTGCCTGTTAGTTTCACAAACAATAAATTTCACGTGATAAAAACTGGTTGACTGATTATCTGTTGTAATATATTATATACAACTACATGTACCAGATATAAGATTTCATCTTAATTCGGTATTAATTTATACAAATACCGGTATTTTTACCAAGGTAGATCAACCTCCCATTTTTAAAAACCATATACGCAAACCTGTATCCTACTGAGTTATTTAACTATATGTATATGCATGTAACACGTACGTTATAATAACTTTTTTCTACATCAATCACCCCTTTAAAAAATCCTTCAACCCCCCTTTGAAAAATTTCTAGATTCGTGCCTGTTGGTCGTTTAATAGAGATGTCGTATATGTGAAAATGTTACAGGGTATTGAAATAAAGTGAAGAAATTTTATCAAAATTAAAAATTTAGAATTTTGATGCTCCAGGTAGATAGCAACACAAAGTGTGAAGCAATATAACTGGAGCGGATCAAAGGTCTAATATTTATTAGATCGGTCGAGAATTTTCTTTGGTAAAATTATTTTCTCCAGTCATTGATATATTTTTGTTTTGATCAACATTTAATTTTCTATAGATTGAATCGGTATTCACAATTGGGACTTCATTGGATATACTTTTGGGACTGTTTGTGTATGTTTATCAATTAAAGTGATAAAAACCCCACTTTTAAAAACGTATTTCGAAAACAAAATCAGATTAAGAACAAAATAATAAAATCATATCCATTGTACTTACGTTGCTTTTCTTTTAACCTGCGCAAATCATTTTCCAAATTCATCAATCGTGTTTCAAAATCATAACAATTTTCATTGGAATCGAATATCAACTGACTTTTTGAATAAATAATACACATACAAATTAAAATGATACATAAATGACACAGACAACAGCGATAGAATATTCTATACATGATTTTTCACAACCTTAAGTGTCTTCTTCCTTGTGCCATTTTTAATTAGGTTTAAAAAAAAGTATATGTGAATTATATTGACTGAATTTTTTTTTTCAAGATGAATCACTTAAATTTTACTCGATCTCCAATTTCACCCCTTTCAATTGCCTGTTTTCATGCTAAAACTGTACACTATTTTCGTTATACACATATATTTTTTATTATAGGATACTACTGTTATTCTAAATACAAATCTTAATACTGCTTTACATGATTACTAGATTACTAGCTTGTAAATACTTAAATGAAACAGACTCGGATCTACAATTTTTTTTTCAGAAGGAGAATTGAAGAGGAATCGAGTTGTTATAACGTACGCTTTCAGAAAGGTAATTAGATAAAGGGATGTAGTATCGCTTTAAAAGTTTGAGAGTCACCAGACTGTGAAACAAGAGGCCCAGGGACCACAGCGCTCACCTGAGCACATCGGGCTTGAATTTACCACCCCCCCCTTCCAGGCGTTCATCATTTGAACAAACTAGAATCTACACTACCTATGATTCCATATAAATATCACTAATCATAGCTTTGAAGTACTTGAAAAGAAGATTTTAAAAGGTTTCCCTATATATCCTTATGCAAAACTTGGGTCGGCCATTTTGGCCCCACCCTATCCCCAGGGTCGGGGGTCATGATTTGAACAAACTTGAATCTACACTACCTGAGGATGATTCCACATGAGTTTCATCTTTCCTGGCCCAGTGGTAATTGAGGAGGATTTTTAAAGATATTTCCTATATATTCCTATGTAAAACTTGGGTCGGCCATTTTGGCCTCACCCTTGCCCCGGGGGTCATGATTTGAACAAACTTGAATCTACACTACCTGAGGATGATTCCACATGAGTTTCATCTTTCCTGGCCCACTGGTTGTGGAGAAGAAGATTTTTAAAGATTTTTCCTATATATTCCTATGTAAAACTTGGGTCAGCCATTTTGGCCCCACCCTTGCCCCGGGGGTCATGATTTGAACAAACTTGAATCTACACTACCTGAGGATGCTTCCACATGAGTTTCATCTTTCCTGGCCCACTGGTTCTGGAGAAGAAGATTTTTAAAGATTTTTCCTATATATTCCTATGTAAAACTTGGGTCAGCCATTTTGGCCCCACCCTTGCCCCGGGGGTCATGATTTAAACAAACTTGAATCTACACTACCTGAGGATGATTCCACATGAGTTTCATTTTTCCTGGCCCACTGGTTCTGGAGAAGAAGATTTTTAAAGATTTTTCCTATATATTCCTATGTAAAACTTGGGTCAGCCAGCCATTGCCCCGGGGGTCATGATTTAAACAAACTTGAATCTACACTACCCCACCCTTGCCACTGGTTCTGGAGAAGGTAAAGTCATGATTTGAACAAACTTGAATCTACACTACCTGAGGATGATTCCACATGAGTTTCATCTTTCCTGGCCCACTGGTTCTGGAGAAGATTTTTAAAGATTTTTCCTATATATTCCTATGTAAAATTTGGGTCGGCCATTTTGGCCCCACCCTTGCCCCAGGGGTCATGATTTGAACGAACTTGAATCTACACTACCTGAGGATGCTTCCACATGAGTTTCATCTTTCCTGGCCCACTGGTTCTGGAGAAGAAGATTTTCAAAGATTTTCCTATATATTCCTATGTAAAACTTGGGTCGGCCATTTTGGCCCCACCCTTGCCCCGGGGGTCATGGTTTGAACAAACTTGAATCTACACTACCTGAGGATGATTCCACATGAGTTTCATCTTTCCTGGCCCAGCGGTTCTGGAGAAGATTTTTTAAAAATGCCATTAATTTTTAACAAATTCATGATTATCTCCCCTTGGAAAATGGCGTGGCCCTTCATTTGAACAAACTTGAATCCCCTTTACCCAAGGATACTTTGTAGCAAGTTTGGTTGAAAATGGCCCAGTTGTTCTTGAGAAGAAGATGAAAATGTGAAAAGTTTACGACGACGACAACGACAACAACGACTACAACGACAACGACAGACAACGGACAAATTTTGATCAGAAAAGCTCACTTGAGCCTTCGGCTCAGGTGAGCTAAAAATGATGGACTTAGTACCTGTAAGTTTTTTGACATAGAAAGGAAAATAAGTCTAAAATCTCTGAACCCGTAAATGTAATTTTGTTTTCACAAACGAATTTCTATATATAAATGGTGCCTGTTTTGGAGGGTAACAGTTGAAATTGACACCCCAAGGAAAACCATTGTCAACCGACGCGTCAGGCCGGTACCTCCACAAGCCATGCGAGTTCAGAAGGAAAATATTTAATAAAGATGAAGATATAACATGAATCATCCCGGTACCCCTTCACGAGTCCCAGTGAAGGAGGTTAACCTGATTATAAAAAACGAACACTTAAATCCTTTATTTTTTTTTATGAAAAATGGTGGAGAGTCCTTTTACTTGACGTCAGATTCAGAAGGAAGTTGGTTAACCTCTCATTGCGGAATTTAATAAGATCCTGGTGGATATCAAACATATGCATGATCGGCCCAATGTCATTTGGGACTCTGCCTTCCTAAACCTTTGCTGGTTAGGATTTAACATCAATTAAGGCTGGAGTCCAGAATGAGGTTGACCCGGTTATGATAAAGCTTTCAAACTCCCCGCTACTTCGAAAAAGATTTACTGACCTCTTTATTGTTTATTTGATACTCTACGAGTCCTTTATCATCTAAAGTTTCGTTATTTCTGCACTTGCAAGCATGTTTCGTCTGTCGTTTATTGTTTTCAAGTAAGCTACATCGGACGAAAGCTTTTATTGACGTCAAGTTTATTCCGGTTCTTTCAAACGCACAACTGACGTTTTGAGAATTCTACAGTGAACCGTACGCGCATAATTTCCACGCATGTGGCATCACCGTTGTGTTACCCGTTGCCACGTGTGTTGCTAAGGCTGAGGGTAATAGAACGGATTGTGAACTGCGTCTAAACCAATCAGATTTTAGTATTTAACATGAAAGTATAATAACATATATTACTACATGTACATGGGCCTTTCAGTGGACCCCTTCTGGATCCATCACTGTGAAAACAGGGAATATTATAATCACGTTCGCCTTTGTAATACAAGCAAAATAATACTGGGCTAGCTTGCTGCTAAAATATTAATAAAAAAAAGAAAAGAAATAATGTACGTAATTGAAGGACCTTGATCTAAGTCCAGCCAATAAATTGTTATATAACTTTTTGTATTATGTATTGTAGATTATAGTTATGGTCATTTGTTATTTTAATAAATCTCAGTTTAACTCAGCTTTAATAAGTTAAACAAGAGGTAAAGCTAAAACAAGCTTCGAGAAGCCAAAAATGTCTTGTCTCATTTTCAGGAAAATTTATGGATATAAATATTTTTTTAACATTGCAGTTCATTTTTTTGGGAATGACTCTACCCGTAATTCTTGGCCAAATTATTTGATATAACCTGGTTTGGGTCAGTTTATGCTTATAATCCACTCTCCACAGAGTGAATTATGAACAAAAATCGTCATCCGACCTAAACCAGGTTATACTTGAATAATTTGGTCTTGCTCCCGCTGTCTAATTATTTTTTTTTAAATTTACATTAATGATAAAAAAAGGCATGTTTTATCATTACCGTACATCTATATGATTTTTTAAAATAGATAATTATTAAATGCCTTGTTTTTATTATTAGTGTATCTGATTTTTGCTTAAGAAAATAAACAATTATAATAATATTACACATCGGGAGCAAGCCGCTGTGAAATATTTTAATTTTTCACTACCGAAAATCAATTTGTTTTTTAAATTATCTTTATCCATAGGATACGCTACTTAGAAAAACTGTATTTATATGGGACTTTGAAAATTTTATAAAAGTGAGGATCAACTAATGGAATTTTTTAATATTCTCAATACCCTGAGCCCTACTTTGAAATTCACTATGGAATCGGATAGTAATAAGTTATCCTTTCTCGATGTAATGGTTATAAAAAAAGAAAACCGTTTAATAACGGATGTTTTCTACAAAATAACAGATACCAAACAATACCTAATATTTGACTCTTGTCACCCTAGACACACCAGGAATAATATCCCACACAATTTAGCCAGACGTCTTTGTACAATAATTTCCGATGCAGAAATCTTGGAATCTCGTCTCACAGAACTACAAGAACTACTCCTTCAAAGGCACTATCCTAAACAATTGATTGAAAACGGAATAAACAAAGCCAAATCTCAAGAAAGAAAAGATCTACTTACAGTGAAAAATAAACAGGCAAAAAATGTCATACCATACGTGTCAACACATAACCCAAGAAATCCGGAAATTTTCAGCATTATTAGGAACAATCTGCCCATTTTAGAGGACGATCCAGACATGAAGAAAATATTAGAAACTTCACAGATCATTAAGAGTAAACGACAAAGTCCGTCTCTCAAATCCATCCTTACAAAAGCATCCTTTTCTACTAACAACAATGAACCAGCAATCATCAATAGATGCAACAAGCCCAGATGCAGTACTTGCCCATACCTGACAGAAGGATCCAAATTTCAATTTAAAACTGGAAGCGAATTTACCATTAAAACATCAATGTCATGCACCAGTTCGAACCTTATTTATGTAATAACCTGCGCCGGTTGTGGTGAAAATTATATCGGTGAGACAGGAGACACCCTGAGACACAGAATGACCGTACACCGACAACAAATTAGGGAACCAAGATACCAGTGTACCGCCGTTAGCGAACACATCAGAAACTGTGCCAAAAATAAAACCCCCAATTTTACTGTTTTTCCTTTCTACAAATTCCGAAGGGATACTACAGAAAAAGAACGTGAAACTAAAGAAAAACATTTTATAAACAGACATAAACCTGTTTTAAATGCAGCATACTTATATTTCATTTAAGAAATATACTTTTACCCGCACAATATAACTGTGCTATTGTATAAAAAAATCTAATTTTCCGTAATAACTTACTT